GGATGTTGCAATAATAATATTAAGAGCTGTTGATTTATGAAATTCATGTGCTTTAGTTTCTAATTATGCAGTTGCCCATGTATGCTGAAATGAAGCCTCAGGTGGCCAGGTCAGACCAGTGCTGCATTAATGATTTCTCTCCAGCCAAAACTGTGGCAGATCACCAGATATTTCTGGGAGGCAGTAACAAAATCATTCTCATGGCTGTTTTAGCCTTCATACTTGGCTGAAGATCGCTGTCTTATTTAGTGCTGTATAGTAGGTTTTCTTTCAAATTAAATTCTTGTAAAGACAAACAGGTTACTAAAACATCAACAAAACCCAGGAGTTTGAAAGGGAACCTGCTGTTAAAAATGTGCTGAGAACTAATGAGTGGACGTAGAGTGCGTACATTCGTATTCCTCTGCTCGACTGGAAGTGACTGAAGTGGAGGAAACAAAATAGCTGCAACATGTAAAACATTTCCAAGAAGATCTTCACTGAGAATAAAAAGGTACTGATGAAAAACCACCAGCAGTGGTGTCTCCCGAACAATTGTTCGAGGACATTGTGTTCTCTCTCCTCCACTGTGTGTAGGTAAATGAATAATCCATGACTGACATGAGAATGTCTGGGAATGGGAGAATTGGGATCGTTTGAGTGAGATGAGGGGGAATTAGCCTCTGGGGAGTGTCTCCATCCCTGGAGAAAGTTGCTTTCTTTTCAGTTTGTGCTCATACTTTACTCGAGAGGAAAGGCAACACTGCAGCTTGTTACATTTGAATAGCGCAGATTGACTTACGGATGGTGCAAACTTTAGAAAAAAAATAATGCAACTGTATTGAGAAAGCCATTAACCCGAAGAGGTAGTCTTTTTTCAAAGGCAGGGTACTGGTTTAAGGCTTACAGCCCACTGTCTTTTAAATTCAACTGGGCAAACCTCTTAGAATTGAAAATTTCTGGGTGTTTAGTAGCACACTTTAGGGCTTCACATGAAGGCAAGTAGAGTAGAGGCTGGAGAATGAACATATCTTGGCTGAGACACAGTTCAGCATGTTTTGTGTTTTGGTTTTGTCTGTTTTGGAAGGGGAGAGTGATGAAGAAATAAGAAACCAAGTTAAACACACATATTTCTATGTGTGGCTGTATAGGAACAGGAGCACTTCTAGCTTGTTCAAACCACTTGTGTCCCTGTACTATCCCCACAGTTTTACCAATACAACTGTCCTAACATAACTTTGGACCAGCTAGGGAACTAATCCAGTATAAGACTGCCAATTTATGGAGATCTTCAGCCTCTATCAGTTCTCAAATCCAGTTCCCCTCTCAGCCCGATAAATATTGGTACGGAAGGAGCAGCATGGGGATGGGAACAGCCCCCTCAGGGAGGTTGGGGCAGCCATAGCTGCCACGCTTCCTAAGGGACCTTCACCACAGACATCAGCATAGTACTATTTGGGCATGATTTTGCTAAAGTTTAAACCAACTTTTCCAATATTGCAGCTAAAAGCATATCCATTTTGATTAAAGGGAAGAGAAGTGACTGTTTGACAAGCTGCAGGGTTTCAGTCGTGTTCAGCCATGTGCCTGAACCTGACTTCCAGCCTAGCTGTGTGGAGATGAGGGGTGGAGGAGGCTTTCTTGGGCCAGGCGCTTGACTCCTCTACAAGCTTCCCAGTTCCCATGGCTTGATGTGCAAGTCATGTTGCTATCCTATGGAGACTGACACTTCTCACGTTCAACTTCTGGATTATGTAAAGCTCTGTTAGATAAGTGAAGTGGGATGTAGAAGAAAATGTGTTCTCCCCCAATGTATTTCAGTTACCAACCTGAAAAGCCAGAATGATTTTTTTGGTGGCTGTGCTTTGTTAGTGACCGTGCTTACGGCATCCCAAAGCATCTGAGAAGGAAAACTCATTGAACTGAGTAGAGGCTGGAAGGTGAGAGGGAGATGGAGAACTTCGGAGCTTTTCTATACGGAGATTAAGTCAACTTTTAAATGCATAAGAGATTAAGTCCTTGCTGACAAACTCAAAGCTGGCTGGTTCTTAAGAAAAATGTGTACAACAAGGCTGGACAAAGCACAATGGACAATGTCATGCTTGCCAAGAAGGCAGAAGTATATAGACCTCACGTTTAAATGTGCTTTTTAAATTAGATATAGATTTAAATCTAAGTCTTTAGATTTAAAAAATAAACTTGCAGTAATATGAACAAATTGTCTTACCGTAGACAATTTTTAATGTATACAGACATCACAGTAGCAATGTGCAACCACACTGATTGATTCAACTTAAAGTTCATCGCGGTCTTTCTGCAGAAAGCCTGTGAGACTGAAAAGAGATTGTAGGATATATTGCTCCAAGTTTATAGCCATCTACATCAAATACATTATTTTTAAAAGTAACATAAACAACTCTGGAGAAGTACGAAGTACCTACTGCAGACATGAGGAAAATACTACTTTATTATCAAAAAATCACTAGTATTTTGAAGTTAAAAGGTTTCATCTTCATTATGTTTCTTACATCATGATCTGCATATTGAAAGACAATTACAAAGCATTATTCTCATAGTGAAGCCTGAAAGCAATTGAATTTGATTGACTTAGTAATCAGCCTTTCTTCTTCCAAAATTGGAAGCCCTCTTTCTTCAAAGATGGTTGGATCTCAGAAGATTAAGTGTGCTTCCATTACAGTCTTGTGTTTTGAACATGGATGCAAGCTTCTTCATAATGGTTTTTACTTTCATTACAGATGTTTTTTGAGATAGAGAAGCGAAAAGGGCTGGAGATGGAAACCAGATGGGAGTATTAGTCCAGTTCCCAAATGGCGGGAGAAGCACAAGCGTTTTGCCAGATGACTTTTTCAGTGTTATGAAACCTTAGTCATATTCAAAACGTGTAGGTGTAACTTGAGGACTAATTCATTGGTATTCACCATATAAATATGCCTATCAAGTGTACCTTAATCCCAAACTGAGGTGTGGGTGTGATCACCTGTTAGCTGGTAAGGCATATTTATCCTCCCTTGCTTACTTAGCTCAACGGATGATTACAAAGAGATCATTAGTCTAAATTACTGCACTGCATCTTTTTTTCTATCTGTTGTTCTTGGAATAGTGTCAGAGACAAGTTTCTGCACTACTTTGAGTACTGCAGCGGTTTCTGAGCCAGCTGCCTGATTGAGCTACAAGAAGTCGAGAGAAAGACGGTAGTCTTGTCTCTTCAGTCTTATTGCTGTCCTAAATATGTGCGTGTGCTTTGTTCACCACACAGCAAATCCCAAGAAGTTTTATTCCATGAGAACAGGTCTGTGGCAGTCTTTTGAAACGTGCCATAGCTGCTTATATAAGCCTCAAAACTGTGGCATAGCAGGCAGTCCTGAAAACTCTGTAAGCATAAGGTTGAAAAAAAAAATTTCTTCTTTGGAAATTGAGTCTGAAGTCTTCTCTTAAAAACTTGTGGGTGTAGATCTTTGATTTCCAATCAAGGCAAGGGGCTCACTGAAACTCAGTGGGGGTAGTAAGTCACATTAGTCCTCAGAGTACATTTCCAGCAATTTAAATTAACTGAACGTTTCTTTTTATTAAAGGTGGTTCTTGATCTCTCTGTTTGTACTTCCGTGGATTTCAATCATAATGTAATATGAATTGATTTCTGTCCCTGAGAGCTAATGACAGACCCAGTTTCTTTGAAATGCTCAAATTGGTTATACTGTGTATCTCATGCAAAGCCAAAGGACTTATTACCCAGGATAAAGCAAGCACCTCGACAGGGAGGTCAAAACGAGATCTCTTTGTTGGCTTCCTGGTGATTTCAAATCCGCTGAAATGGCTGAGATGTTTGAATAAGCATACTAAATTATCAGAAAAACTGTGTGATCCTACGCGGTGAATTTTATTTTCCCCAGATTCAGGACTGTTTCAAGAAAGACCTCGTTCCCCAGCGGAAGCTAAGCAGGTTGATGCAAGGTGCTGGGTGCTTCCCCTTTACTTACCCTCATCCCTATTCTGCTCAGCACCCGGGGGGTCATGATCTCAGTTAGAAATTGCTGGCTTGCATTTGACTAGTATGGAAAAACATTTATCTGAGCAGAGCAATTGAAAATTGAAATTCTCTCTAGCAACCTGTACTTTTTTTCTCTTTTTTTTTTTTTTTTGATTGAGCGACACTGATTTTGTTCTGCATTACAGTGTTGGACAAGTTTGCGCGTGCTGATGTTTGGTCTTGTCAATGGAAGTATTTTGGAAATGACTTCATAGAATCATAGAATCATAGAATGGTGTAGACACTTCCTTAGTGTCATGTCCTTTTCTTCTTCTCAGCGAGCAGAGCTGTCAGGACAGGCATCCCACAGAGCTCCTAAGCTGGCATCTTTTTCCATTTTCCATATCCCCCTCGCTATAATCATGCTATCATGCTTCCCCTTTGCCTTTTCACTCATAGACCACCATGTATTCTCTCTGAAGCTGTTTGTCTCTGCCGTTGGGCTGTTTTCAGTCTGTAATACATTACACATACATTATGCAATCCGTATGTTCTGATTTAAATAGAGTTACTCTGGCTTATGATGGCATGGATGAGTGTAAGGTGTGGTCTTTGGGTCTTACTGTGCAAGTAAAGTCCAATTTAAGCAATAAAAGATTCAAGGTGTTAATCTTGTTTTAAACAGACTTTTAACCCAGTGACACACGCGGTGTATTGTAGCAGAACATAGGTTGAATCCATTTTGATCACTAGGTAACTGGAAATGCATTGACAGATGTATTTTCTGATAATTTACGTAATTATTTTGCAAGGTAAGTATTAGTTGCAAAAGGGACAATGAAATTCTGCTTTCCCTAACCTACTAATTATTGTTAGTGTGTTAATAACGTGTCATTTTATACTTGCCTTTAACAGCTGCAAAGCACATCGTGCCAATTTTCACCATATGGATACCTTGCACTGATATGTGTAATAGCCAGAAATGTCATGCTGCTCCAGATTAACTACACGTTCTCATTTTTATTGTTTCCAGGTTTATTCCAATTTATAGAGGACCAAGTCATACGTACAAGATACAAAGGCTGACAGAATCTACTAGTTACTTGTTCAGAATACAGGCGGTCAATGATGCTGGGGAGGGACCTTTCTCAGAAATATGTACCTTCTGCACAACTAAGTCAGTCCCGCCTGCAATCAAAGGTATGTAATAGTTTTTCTTTTACATAGGCATAAATAATATGTAATTATTTAAGAATTAACAGAAGTACACAATAACATGTGAAAAAACAGTTTGTGCTGCTTATGTATTTCTGTGAATTGTGAAGTTACATTATGGTGGGAAGCTAAATTATTACCAAAAAAAAAAAAAATCATATAAACGTTCTACCAGCCACTGCTGTTGTACATGAACTGTTAAAATGCTGCTGCTAACGATAACGTTTACCAGGGAATTGCTCTGTATTGCCACAGCCCTTCTATAAGGGATGTAACACCTTTAGTATGTATTTGTACATACCAGCTTAAGCATTAGTAAAGTCACATGTTTTTTTTTAAGTTGTGTAGGTGATGTTCAGCGTAGCACTTGCAGAGTTTATATTTCCTTTAATTTATAAAATTAATAATTATATTTTGCATGTGTAAAGCTTTAGATTCTTTATCTCACTTAGCATGTGTTCCCCTAGAAGAGCAAAAGGCCTAATTAAATTTTTCTAATGAAACGTCTTTTACTGTGTGTAAATTTTGGCCCAAGTAATTCTGCTCCTTCCTTCCAAGGAGAACTATTACTAAGGCAGTGGATTCGCTGTATCGACTGTCAGGTAAACCGAGGTGAAATCAGATGCACCTTTTTCTCCTGTGTTCTTAAAACTCCTTTGTCAAGCAGTACTGTTTACTGCGAGAAACAGCAACTGTTTGATTGTCAGGGGGCTTTCATTTAAAACCTGGCTTTGGTGATTTTCATACCATTCATGAACAAAGAGAGGGAGAAACACTGCCAGGGTGTAACTTCCCTGGTCGCTAGGTTAGCTGCACTGAATCACTCCCAGGAAGGACAACGCTCTGGAGTGCAGAGGGAACGTGGGAAGATTGGCTTCACTGTGCTAAAATCAGCGTATGTGAGAATCCCACCTTTGTTTCTACCTGGATATCCCCTGGGTTTTGGCATTGGCTTCAGTGCTGTTTGTGGAAGAAGGTGTCTCTGTGTGTTTGGTGTAAACTCGGAGGGTAAATATACTTACCCAACGGGGGATTATCCTGATTGGCTCCATTCTGCAATTGTAAGATGTGCTGCCCAGCGAAGCGAAGGGAGCTCGTGCCAGGTGAACCAGGCTGGCATAGATGCGGGTGGCAGGGAGGGTGTGCTTCATGGCTTCAGCATCCGCAGGTGATCAAGCGCCTGGGCTCAGGTGCATGTCGCTCACGGACACTCAGCCTGTGCTGCCATTGCTCCTCTTAGCTGCTCGAAGTAGATAAAACTATAATAGGGATGCCGGCGTGCACTGTAGTCACACTTTCATTTTATTGGATAGAAATCCATTTCATTAAATTTGGGTCTCACGTGGGTTTTCATTTTGAACTCCTTGCCTGTTTAGTTCCTGTTAAATATGACTCACACCCGGGACTGACTGTCGAGCAGTTAAGATATGGTGCCAATACCGGGTCGTGTGTGGGCTGGGACCACAGGTGCATGACAAAACACTGACTATAACAGAGAAAAGGGCACAACCAACACTGCTTTAGTGAACACTGCCATGGGGAGGTAATGCTGTAGGGGAAAGAGATCTGTTGAGGCAAAACAATGGTGTTCATTCTCTTCCATGTTCAGAGCAATACAAAGGTGATACATGAAAAACTGTACTAAGTTTATCAGAAGCATGTGTTTATTCTCCTATAAAGTATCCTAATAACTCACTTAGTGATGGCAACCCTGAAATAGCATTATTGTTAATTACAGTGTTTTGTTATGTGTCAGACTAAAGTCTACGCATATCGGGGTGAGGGATGGAAGGAGGAGGGAAAATAATTGAGAACATCGTTGTGAGTTGAGATGAAGGTGTCTATTATCAGTCTCTCACCACTGGCAGATGTGCAGAGAGAAGCAAATGGATATTGATTACATTTGGGTCCGCGTTATGATTCATGCGTTCCTCTTGGGTGGTAATAAATTAGTCTAAAATTCATATAATGTATGCAGCAGCAGCGTTTGTTTCTTTGATAGACTCTCCTGTTGTCTGTTTTCATAGGATTGGGAATCTGTATTGCCTTTAACAAGCTCATGTCCTTGCACGTGCACATGCTAACCACTCGGTAAAGCGTTTAGCACTTTGTTTCTGCCAGTTTCAGTTTTGTGGTTCTCCCAGTTTCAGTTCCGTGGTCATATGCCTGCTTGCTCTGCCTGACCAGGAGGCTGGTGGACCCTGGATGCTGTCACAGTTTTGATGCCTTCCAGTGGCAGACACTTAGTTGTACATATTAACGTGCTGCTGCTGTTAATACTCTGCTCGGCTCCCTCGCAAGCTTCCATCAGGCACCGTGCAGTGTCCTTCGGCTTTCAGCTGGTGAGAGGTCCTTTCCCAAGGATGGCAGCACTGTAACAGCTGACAAACTGAATTTCTTAGAGTCTAGTGAAGGCACTAGTCTAAGCTTGGCTAGAAATAGCAGGTCCGATCACCTGAGTGTCAGGCTCAGAATTAGATACAAGTCCAAGTCTTCAGCATTATGCTTGTACTTTTGCTTCCCAGGCTGGGCTCAATTTCTAGTACAGAAGATTATTTGGCTTCCATTCTCACATTCCTTCTCCTGTTTTTCCTGAATGAAATGTTTGATATTATTCCTCTCTTTCAATGACATGTAGCATGGGAGGAATGCACAGGCGTCTCCACTGGCACAGGTGTTTGCTCAGAACTTCACAAAATTGCTGCTTTTATTAATGCCGGTGTAATTTGTGCGTTGGCTTCTGCTTTGAAAAGATCAGTGCACAGCATTGCAATTGAATTTTAAAAGTTCAAAGAGTTTTTTCACATCCACTCTCCTTTTCTAGCAGCTCACACAGCTGACAGATGAGATGCTCTAACAGCTCACTGTCCTGCTGCAGGAGTCATCTGGGTCCTACAGTAAACTACTTAAGAGCTGTTTAATCAGCTCTAAATTTCACCCAATTTTCTACAAGCGATGGCTGTTATTGTTTAATACCACAAGAATCCTGAACTGCTTAATCAGGCAAGACTGTCCTGAAATAAATGTGACTTTTGAGTGACTTTAAAAATCCAGCTCCAGTTTTACTTCTTTCATCCAGTGGTGATAGCAATTTGATTTTTGGCCACATAAATGCAGTCCAGATTTCGTGCTGCGAACCCCTGTGATGTCCTGAAGTTCTCTTTGGAAAATGTTCTCATGTGTATTACAAGTGCCTGTAAAATGAACAATATTTCAATGTAGTCTTTATATTAAATGTTAAGGCATTTCATTTTATTGTAGCCCCTCGAGTGACGCAGTTGGGAGGAAACGCCTGTGAAGTTACCTGGGAAATGGTCCCACCCATGAAGGGAGATCCTGTTGGTTACGTTCTGCAGGTACTGGTTGGAAGAGAATCTGAATACAAGCAGGTAGGAAAATGGTCTCTCTTTGATATTGCTGAATTGATGATATAATGGAAACGGTTTTGAACATCCGCTGTGATGCTTCTTTCTGCTGTGCTGAATTACACCTGATGGTGATCTGTCGTGAACTTTGGTAAAGGTTGAGTCAAAATTAAGGGCTATAATAGGTTGGTTTGTCCCCAGAGGGGGTATACAGAACATCATTATCTTACTGGAGTGATTTGCGCTCTGTCCATAGTTAATCACTATTTCTAAGTGAACTAACCTTTGAAAAGTTATGATTCTGTCCACCCGTGCCTCCTTCTGAGCTGGTTGGTGCGAACTGTTGGCAGAAGGTAAGTAGGTGGATTATCTTCCCCATTCAGTGAGCCAATTCCAAGACCCTTCATCAAGGATTTCAGTCAAGTATGCCACTTCTAATAGGTTTGTTCAGCCACCCCATTCCTGTCTGAGGTTTCGATGCGTGCATGTGTAACTGCTGTGTATCAGCTGCCGCACAGAAACTGTGTCCTTTCTTGTGCCGTGGAAACAGAGGGAATGAAGTACGGCTGATCCTTCTTTCCTTGCCTGTCTTGGTTAGAGTTCACAAGTGGACATTTCCCCAGAGCACCTGGAATGGAACAGCTCATTCACAGATAGATCTTTTATTTCATCTGTCACACCTCTGACCGTGTGATTTACAGTGCACTTCATCTGTGCCCTGTCTTCTCCCTGTCCTTTCTTTCGCTGTCATACGGATTCCAAATAAGTCCAGATTAGGGAATGTGATATGTTAAACCTTAAATTAAATGCTTTAAAATGTGAATGAGGTACTTGGCAACTGTCTTTGCTCTTCTTCAGTCTATTTTTGAGAGTTACTGCAAATTAATGAATTATCACAAATAGCATAAATGCAAGACAATTCATTTGGATACTAAAGATTCAGAAACCAAACTATTGTTTTTATCAGGAAGCGTTTTTGGTGGTGGTGTAGATAATGAAACCTCTGTGTACTGTGGTGGCCTCATAATGTCAGTGGTAAGCGGATAAATGGACCCATTTTGCTGCCTGATTTACAATGCAGCCTTGATGTATAACCTCCATGTACAGCTTCAGTAAGCATAGCTTCAGTCCTTAAAACGTCCTGGATGTCCTTCAGGAGAATTGTACGTGGCTTCGTGTTCCTTTAAGTTAGGCAATGGCTTAATCTTCGCAGCCAAGAAATTGTGGTATGAAAAAGCACAGCAATAAAGGAAATAAAAAAGTACCTTCTGGATCTTATGTTGAAGGTCTTAATGTCTCGTGAAGCGTGACCCTGCTGAGGGGTGTTTTGCTTGAGTTTTCACAAGTGACTCACTAGAAGAAGCTCCCAGCTGGGCTGCTCAAAGCTGACACTGTGACTTCTGTGGTTGGGCTGTCTGATAAGCAGCTGTGGAAAACAGAGAGATTTCCACCGTTTCATGGTCCCATCAAAATTACTTCTCTTCATCACATCTCAGCGCTGGGCACATCGCTGACTTACTGCCCGTTAGCTGAGCTGCAGCGGCTGCACGCGCGTGCTCTGAGCTCCGGTTATGTGAGCAGGAGATCAAATAGATAAACGACTTCCAGGGATTTTTCTGGCTGATGTATTTCACTTTTCCTTCGCTGTGGCGTGTGTGTGATCACTTGTTATCTTTAGCTGAAAAGTAACGTTAGTGATATGTTAATTACGTTTCAAGTGGAAGCCCTAAATTTACTTTTAAATCTGTTTTGTTCCCTGCAAGTGATACATATATTTTGCATATGTGTCTCAGGGGGCATATTATGTTAGAAAAGTTTTGCAAATTGTTTTGAAGGGTTGCACAAATGAAAAATACCATAATTTTTCAGGCTGTTAAATACACCCACAAGAAAGAACAATATCTTAAGTGACTGGAGTTTCTGTAGCAGTCGCCAGTGCATTTTACAAGAACCAACGATAGTGTAGTTAGGTAAGAAGGAGAAAAACTCCTTTTCCTGTTTCTCAAGCCATGTATTTCTTTTTCTGTATTTGTACGCTTTATCTATTCAGATACTTTCGAAAGCAATGGCATTATGACATTACAATTCTTTTTCGGAAATCTGATTTTCCTTGTTTACGAATCAGAATGCAAATCACGTCAGATTCCAGGAAACAGTGGCCCAGGTCTGGTTTTCTGTTTCTTGCAGTTTCATCTAGCAAAGCTTACTCGGTTAGAACTTACCTCTCAAGTGTGTTAAAATCATCTCTGGCTGTGCGTAGTGTTAACCTAGAGCTCGGGGAGAGGGCTGGGTTGTGCGGCACGGGCTGAAGCTTGAGATAACAGTCCTGAGTCTTGGCAGCTGAAGTTTTGGTTTCCCAATTGAGCAGCTCTGGGGATCGAATGGCCAAGTAGCCAGCTCTTCGTAAGAGCTCTCCGTGGGAAACGAGAGCTGAGTTTTAAAGCTTCTTTATCCTTAAATCGTTTGCCAGTGAGGCAAGATGTTCTGCCTTTGAAACTTCTGAAAATTTGAAGGCGATGGCGTTCCATCAGCTTCTGCCGTATCTCTTCTGGGAAAAAAACTGTCCCCAAACGCTTTCCAAAAGATGAAAAGGTATGAGTAGGATACACTGGGTGTGTAAAAATCCCCCAGCAGTGCAGTGGGAAGCCTGCTCAGGTCTGCACTGGGAGGTGGATGCCTGGAAGAACCCGGCTGGTCTTACTAAGCTCTGATTTTTATTATCGTTTTTCCTTCCTGCACTGGGAGGTGGATGCCTGGAAGAACCCAGCTGGTCTTACTAAGCTCTAATTTTTATTATCGTTTTTCCTTTGTTTCAGACCGTAGACACACAATATCTGAAACACATTCAGTGCACTGTTAATTTGTGTGAATCAGCAAAAAATTTGTTTTCCTTCTCTATTTTAAATAGCAAGTCGAAGGCACTTGTACTACTTGCATGCCAAAATACAACATAACTGTACAGTACACATTGGCATTTATTATTAGTTCTACTTGCACTGAGTATTTTCTCTGCCTTCTGATGCCAATTTTGTGTCATGAGTCAGAGCAAATAATTTCCAACCCACTTCATGGAAGGTGACCTGAGAGACTCTTTTTTTGTTCAGTAGACAAGGCTGTCCACACAACTCTTAAGGGTTTAAGAGCATCTCAGCAGCGGAGTGAGGGAAGCTGATTTTGAGTCCGGATAAAATAATAAGCCCAGCTCATTTCTTAAAGAGAAATGTGGTAGATGACTTTGAAGAAATTAAGCCTTTCAAGCGGGCATGCTTGCTAAATAAATTGAAACCTGCCTCTGATTCTTGATCATCTTATCACCATGCCAAATAGGCTTTTATTAATTATTAAATACACTGGTCATTGCAGTGGGGTGCAACATCAGGTGAGGTTATCTTACACTTTCCAGTTTGTTGCTTATAGGGCAATTGTGGCCGTCATTTTTACTGTTTGGAAAAAGTGGAGGGGTTTTGGAAGTCTTTAATGACATCGGTGAAATTGAGAAATACTTGCCTACAGGAATTCTCTGAGCTGTCTGACTTCATCAGTAGGATCAAATGCCACAGGAGGCTTCAGCAGCAGTTTGACTTGTGATGATATTTTCGCTGAGAGAGGCAGGCAAAAAGCTCCTCGTGTTTTTGTTATATTCTCAGGTACCTAAACAGACAAGCTCTTTTCAAAAACTGAAAGTGATAAATTGGTTAGCCGCTTTACTTTGACTTGTTCACCACCAAGGCATAAAGTGCTACGTATAAAAAAGTGTGCTGCTTTGTACAGTCATATTTGGTTTAATATTTGTTTAGCAAATTTAAGGACCTTATACCAAATTGTCAAATTATTTTTTTTTCCTCTCTGTTGTGTATGTGACATCCATTCACAAATTGTAGCTGTGTTCACAACCAAGCATGTACCTTTGTGCTGAGGGCTTCCTGCGTTGGCTTAGCCTGGTCCTGCAGACAAAATTGAGCTGGAGCCAGTAGTGTCCCCAAGGTGCTCGCTGCAGCCAGTTGTGCAGGATACAGAGGCTATTGTCAGAAGTGAATGATAATTAAGCACCATAATTTTTTTGCCTGTTCCTGAGAAAGGACATAGATCCACTGTGCTAAATACTCATCAGACCACTGAAAGCAGGACAATTTCCACCACCTTCCTAGCTCTAGTGCAGGAAATGTTTTGTCTTTATCATTAGTGAATATTAATTCATGTATTCAAGGTACTTACGACTGTTTTTCAGACTTTAACGATGCACTCTTCTCTCACTTGACTGTCTGGCCTTTTTCGGAGAAGTGCTGTTGACTAGCTGGCTTGAGTGAACTTGGTCATCTGTATTTGTTAGACTGTAGTGAAGACACAAGTCTCTGATTTAGTCAAACTTAGCCTCTAGTTACACTGATATTCACCACCCTGGCAGAACAAAACAGTAGAAAAACGATTAACTGAACAGATTTTTTTAGTGCAAAGACAGGTTATATATATCCCATCCTCACTATCTGTTAAATGTAATTTCTGAAGATTAGTTTGGAAAATTTTTATTAAATGTCATTATTAGAATTTTACTGGATTTTTATTTTGGTTTAGAAGCATTCATATTGGCTGCAAAGGTTCATTTATGGCAAAGGCATGTAGAGCTCTTCTGATTATACATTTTGAAATGAAATTAATAATTGCAACAGCACCAGAAAAGATACCTTGCTTACAGTTGTTTTGTAAGGATACATGCTTTGAGTTACTGTGTCTCAGAGTCTAAAGACATGGGAGTTAGATAAGTCCTGCAAGTGGAAGAATGCTGACTGGTCCTGTGGCAGAACGCATCCTTTTTTTAATTACTTACTCAACCTACCTTTACGTGCCAAATGCATGCAACTTTTCTTTGCGTGATCATTTATATTTGAGAGTAAACTGAAGTGTTAACCACCTACAAGATGTAGCATTGATGATGGAGTAGGTGGAGGCCAATTGCCTACAACAGGTGGTGTTAGAAATGGAATTGCTGTTGGAAAACAGAGTGACAGAGACGTTCTCGGTACGAGGTACGCTTTGCACACAGATGTTTCGACCTCCACGTTATTTCTCTGGACCGATACAGCACTTGCAGTGTTGTTTTCTATGCAATTACTGTATTACTGTAACTTAATGACTTGCTGCTTGTTGGCATTGGGAAGACAAGCAAAGATGACAAGAAGGGCAACAGTGCATAGCTGTGGTTAATCGCAGAGATTTATGATCTGAATTGGTTGTATTCCTGTCACTTGAGCTAGAGGGAACTTCCTGTGAATGCTGAGCATACTTGAGGAAGGTAAAATAATTTTGTTTAAACACTGCTGCTTGATTTATGCCTTGGGGCCAAGAAACATGAGCCAGTTAGAGGAGTTCTACTTAGTCTGGAAACTCCAGAGTCACCATCATTCAAACTATATTTGGAAAAACTGTGAAAGTTTAAAAGGAGGGGAGAGAACGAATGAAAGAAAAACCTCAATCTTTTGTCTCAGACCTTCTCGAGAAATCAGCAACTGGCTTTTTAGCTGAGGGATGAGTCTCAAGGGCAAGCATGGGCAGGAAAGTGGTGTTTAGCTGAGCATATCTCTGCTTTTTCCTCCTGTATTCCGTACTCCAGAGTAGCGCACAGGAAGTCCTCTATGGGCTCACGTTTGATTTTCCTCTTGTTAGCCTTTTCTAAGTTGAAGTCTTACCTCCAGGAGGGCAGCGATGCTCTCAGCCTGCCTCTCCCGCAGCGAGGAGAAGGAAACTGGCTAAATGAGGAAGAAGTATCTGGAGTTCAGGATTTTTATTTTTTTTTTCCCCAGCAGACACAGGCACTTTGTGACATGTTTTTTGTTTCATAAAATACCAGTTTCAACAACACTCTGTTATATAAATTGTTGAGTGGTTATTTGTTTTCAGAGTTCATAAATGTTTCCAGTGGTCTTTTGCTGTTTGAGTTGCAAAACTGTCTCTTATATATTCAGTTCTCTCTCTTTTTCTTGTATTGTGACTCATTCTCTCTGAGTCATGCGGTACCTACGTTTGATTAACATAAATACATGATGGGTTCAAATTGCTAAAGAACCAAATACGGTGCAACCAAGAGGAGCTTTTTTATAACTTAATAATATTTTATTGTTTCTATAATTCTGAAAGTGCAACTTCTGGCAAAATTGGTGACTCTCTCGAGATGGGAGGAAATTACATCAAAATCATATTTGTAACCAATTTTATGATTATACAGTGATGTCTTCCAATAACCTTAGCTTGCAGATTTTCTTGCTTTTGGGGCCAAACACGGTGCTTATGTCGTAGACATGTTTTAGGCATATAGTCACATTTTAAAAGTGCAGAAATATGTTTGTAGTGTTTATCGCACCCACCAAAGAGGAGTACGTCTTATGGTTGATGTATCATCTGAAGTCTTGTCTGCCCTTGTGTGCACTGACTGTGTTAAGCACTCTGTGTTGAGACCTCACATGGTTGGACATCTCTCACGTAGTCCTCCACAGGCCTCTATTTTTCCAAAACCTGCATTGACCTAGTGAGTTCTTCCCTTGAAGCAATGTTTCCTTACAAGACTCAGACTCAACCTAACTTTCTGGCCCAAATCCTCGTAAAATCTAGCGTTACTACGTTTTTAAGTCGTTTGATGCCATGAAAAGAGGAGGAGAGGAGGTTGTCTTGCTCTCCGTGTTTGACTGTGCTTGCTGTTTTGTTTTGAAGGTGTACAAGGGAGACGAGACCTCGTTCCACATCTCAGGCCTTCAAGTCAACACGGACTATCGCTTTCGCGTCTGCGTCTGCCGCCGGTGCTTGGATACCTCACAGGAACTTAGTGGCCCTTTCAGCCCATCCGTTGCCTTTATGCTTCAACGAAATGAGATCATGCTTGCAGGAGAAACGGGAAGCATAGACGATCCTAAGCTAAAGAGCATGATTCCTACTGACGAACAGTTTGCAGCCCTCATTGTTCTTGGCTTTGCGAGTTTGTCGATTATATTCGCCTGTATATTACAGTACTTCTTTATGAAGTAGAGAATTCAATGGAAGTTTGAAATACAAATTTAACTAATGCTACGCATTATAATCCACACATTTATTCAGATATTCCTTTTTTTGAAATCCTTTTGTTCTACCATACATTTTATATACTTCTCTTGTTTTTACAGTTCTAGCTTGAAGAATGATAAATCAGTGTTTTGATGCACCTTTTTGAAATTCAAAACTAGGAAGTGGTCAAACTGGAGAAACAAGCAAACCAGATACCAAAAGCAAGATGATTTTTTTTTTCCTTCACAGTTTCAAAATTGTCACCGATTTGCCTTTTCAATGTTGTTTTGGGTTTTTTTCACTGAAGTTCTTACAGTCTCTTATTTTATCTTATTATTTAGGACATTTTAATCATGAGTCACTTTTTTGTCTCTTCTTTTTCCTTCTAAACATTAGTCACAAGTGTGTATAGTGGTAAGACTAGAATACAGTGTTAGTCAACAGTACCAGGTTTTCCTTGAACAGTATTAGCAATGTTGCCTATGAATTAGTCACTACATTTGCCCAAGTTTTTTCAAGATAAAACATAAGTTGTTATTTTAACTCTTTAGTGCATTTGAATCGGAACAATATCCTGCAGTCAAAAATCCTTTCTAATTATCTGTTATTTTTACAGTTACAACACTATAAACTGCCTGTATAAGAAATCAAATAACCAAACTGCATATAAATTATGAAGCATTATAGATATTTTTTTTACCATTTTGATTCCTAGCAGTAATTTTAAGTAAGAGGGCATTGTGCAATAGTTAGCTATTCCCATGTTCAGCTATTTTAAAGCTGCTTTGTCTGTTTGTCACTGTATATAACTATTCCTAATCTAATACTAGATATTATTCTATTATGTTCAGCCTGATTTATATGATTAGAGCTGGTGACAGCTTACTGCCTCTACTGAATTAGCTGAGATTTACACTCGATGTAAGCAAACTTTACTGTCAGTTGATTTTTTTTTTTTTTTTAATTATTTTTTGGAGGGATATCCGTTTTATGGAACTTTTTTGGAGATATCAGAAACAAGATCTGTTTGTTTTAAATACCTTAAATGAGTGTCTGTGCTATTCTTACCACAGGGTTAATTGAAATAACTTGGTACATGGCAAAATTCGGACAAGAGTCCTGCTCTGGTGGGAATGTCCCCCCCCCACCTCCTCCTGCCTGCCCCTTCCAAGATACACATTTTAATCCATCAAGATACTAGAATTTTAACTCTTCAGTCATTGGATTATTTATATTAAGTCAACATTGTGCAAGTACCTCAGGGACATAAATGAGCTGGAGGTGCAAGTAGATTCCAAAAGGGTGCAACAGACACAGTGTATTTCCCTGCCTCTTGTTTTTGTATATTTTTGCTACTTGGTTTTGCTTTTGTCATAGCTATTTTGTGCTCTGTCTCCATCGTCTAAGACTCTGTGTCCTGTACTAGCGTAATATTCCCTTAACCAAAGTAATGGGGAAAAAACAACATTATTTTTGATTTAGGTTTATTTATACTATATACTGCATACAGTACTTTAAATACCAATTCCAGTGCAATCTTTTATTTATTGTAAAAAAAAAAAAATAAAAAATAAAAAGTGTACTTATGTACTAATCCCCCTCCCCTCCCTCCCTGTAGCATGTTATATTTTGTCTGTTTTATACTGTTGTACTTAGGTCAACTTTTTACCTGGCAGCATTCCTAGTATTATTAATCTTCTTACATTTTCTTGTGTTTTTGAAGATGGGAGCATCTAGTACATTAAATGCCAAAAAAAAAACCATTATCAGTGATTCAAACGTTTACATGTATCCAAAAACATAATCATCTCTGGAAAGAAAGTGCTAAGATCAATGAATTATTCTGTGTGCCTCTCTAGATGTAGCAAATATTAGAAATGTTCTGTATTTTGTTATTGACTATAATTAGTTTAATTTAGCCTTGCAAACTAATGGCATTGAGCTAAATATATATATTTTTTTGTTTCTTGCCAAAGTCATGGCTTGTCAAATTTATTTACATCTTATTTAAATTTATTTGTGATATGAAATTTTGTGACCTTGCATCTGTATTTTGTGAGCAAAGCGTATACAGCTGTCTTCAATGGAGAGGAGAAAGAAGAGTGTATTTTTTAAAACAATGAAAAGACTGCTAGTTTGGAAACCCAGGAATTTGAATAGAATCCCCTTTTTTATTTTTGAATATTGTTTCAGCAGTGCTGCTATGAAATCCAAGCTTGACACCTTTTTAAAAAAAACGGCTTTAATACAAAAAAAAAAAAACCCACCTTACTTCAGTTGATCAACTTTGAAAGTTCAGAATAGGAATGACGCTAAAAGCAGCGAGCGGAAGTGTGGAGAAAAGCAATGGGTTACACCTGGAGCATTTCTGTCATTGCTGGTTTGCTTGGTGCCCCTTAGAATCACACTCACGAGAACGCCCAGTCCAGCCCTGAGGTTATCAGTGAAAGTGTCCTGCAGGAGTTTGGGACAGGCCCGAAATAAGTTAATTTGGCATTCTTTTAGATTGTATATTCTGCCATAGTGATTTGATGGTCAGTGAGATATTAACAATAAAGTAAAGGATCACAGATCTTAAACCATTCCTGTTCTGATTTCCAGTACCGCTGAGCCACCGTTCGCCGGTGCCTTCTCTTTTCCCGTACATCCTTGGATCCAGCAATAGCAGGCGTTGAATCCAGCCCGAGGGCTCCCTGCCCTCAAAGAAATTATGAACAAAAACAGGAAAAAAAAAAAAAAAAAAAAGGTAGAATGAAACATGAAATGTTAAAAACCCTTAAGGAAGGAGAGAGATGTTTTTATATTGTTCTGCCTTTTTCTTGATGAACTCGAGATGTTTTCTAATCCTGTTTGTTGGCTACGGGAGCGCAGTATGCAGTGTCACGATTGAAAAGTGCCCTAACTGAATGTGTATGAACCTTGTCCTTGCACAGTTCTTTAAATTGAAAAAAAAAAATTTTTACCTCACTATGGGAACATACATTCCAAGCTTTTCAACTTTAAAATAAAAAAATAATCATAAGTTTTCTTGTATTGTAAATTTTAGACTATTTCATATGCATTGTATTAAAACTGCCATATCAATTTTAATGTATAGATTTTGCAAATACTACACTATGTATGTAAGACTTAACTGTATCTGTAGTGTATATGTAATATATTTATGCTCAATAAATGTTTTAATTCTTTCTGATATTAGCAGTTTCTTACTTGAGTCCAGCCCTTTTGGTCTGCGCAGCCCCTTTCCAGCAGGTCCGTGGTGTTGGCGCAGCCTGAGGCAGGAGTGGGAGCCCCAAATTTAGCTCGGGATGTTTCTGCTTTGTGATTACAAAGATTTTGTGTTGTTCCTAAAGTGTTTGCTGGTGCAGTTCAGTGGTTTATGACATAATCTTTTCTTAGACTGAGCTAAATACACCGCAGATTGCTAGTCCACCCCCTGGAAGGCTGAAGTTTGTTTGTATATATTATTATCATTATATATATTCATTTATTATTATTCTTAAATTGTACTTAACCCATGAGTTTCCTTCCATTTTCCTCTTTAATTCTCTTCCTCATTCCCCAGGGGTGGGGGAGGATGAGGACTAGTTGTTGTAACAGCCAGCTTTAAAGTAACCTACCTCCTGAAAATTTAAGGATGGTAAAAAAAAAAAAAAAAAAAAAAGATTTTTTTATCTCTTTGTAATTGAACACTTGAAATATCAGAACTTTTCACTTATTTGTTAATTATGTGCAATAAATTCAGTTACTCATTGTAACGAATTAATCTAATGTGTACATGTTTCTTGGCAAACACATTAATGTTTGTTTTTTAAACAGCTTTTCTTCTTCAAATCACTGCATAAATACAATATTTTATTTGTTTGCTTTTTTAATTACAGCAATTTACAATTTTAGTGGGTTTTCCTAAGGAAATTACTGTCCCTTTTTTCACTTGGTTGCTCAGCTGTTTTTCTTATTTAAACAGTGCTTGCAGAAACAATCTCTCTCTAACAAAATCTTTTAAATCTGTCTATAGACTAGTAATCCACCACTTTGGTATTCGAGGAGATCTTTTATTTTTGGTAATAAAATACCAGCACCTGGTTTACGGTGCTGCCATGGGTGTCTGCAGAGGTGATGGAGGACAGTTACAGCCCGTGGGAGTGAGGGAGGATTTTAGGTATCTGCTGTTTGAGCTCTAAATGTTACCTTGTGATGTTATAACCCACAGGTTTGGTGCAGAGGTACCGGGTCCCTTTCCTACACCCAAACTCGGCAGAGGTGGGGTAAGTAGCACTAAGTTTCCAATGGATTTTGTTTTACAAGGAGATACAGAGCAAGTTGTAACCGGGCTTGGCCAATATTGTATTTAACGTCTTTTCGCTGCTGTTACCTGTTGGCAGAAAAGTATCTGCTTTGAAGTTTTGAACCAGAGCAGAGGCTCATATTTTTAGATGTTTTTGTGGCCTTACGAAGGACCTCTGGGCTGGTACAGTGGTCGGATGTGGACCACGGCACATCTCACAATTTGAGCAACCTCCAGGTCTGCCTACTGCGACGCGTGGACACCAAACCTGGTGGCTGCTGTTTCTATAGCAGCAGCAATTCTTGCTCTTCTCAGTAATCAAAGAGCCTGTTCAAAAACAAAACAGGTAAAATTTGTTTTGCTGTTGACTTCAGCCACGGTTGCAAGTTCAGAGCGTGTTTGGTTTGGTGGAGAGTTGAGCTCCGTTTAGAGGGGGGTTCTCTATGAGAAACCAGAGTATCAAAGCAAGACATGGCGTGATCTGAGCCACCCGCTCCCCAGGACAAATAAAGCAAATGGGATCCGGAGGTAGCATCAATTCACTGTACCATGTTGTTCACCTCCTGCAGAGCTTTTCCTGCTGGACTCCTTCAAGCCACCAAATTTTAGGAGATAGTCAAATTCAGCCTACTATACATAGCACGTGCTTGAAGGGAGGTAGATCTTAACTCCAGCCTTTGTGTCAGGGGACTGAGGCTCTCCTGCCCCTCCCTCCTGTCTTGAGACACAGCAGAGCTATTTGAAAACACCCCTGAAAATGAAATATTTTGGGAGCTCTTGTTCAGAGGTCTCCAGGACCATGCTGTATAAACCAGCATCGCCTGAGCTACTCCTCCCGTGTTGGCCAGGGCATCAGCATGCCCTGTGTGCTCAGCCAGGTGGGAGATCGGCTGAGTTATCCAAGGTCTTCTGTTGCTTACAGGTCCACAGCTGGAGAAATGTTCCCTGGGGAACGTGGCATTCCTTGTCGGAACAGAGGGACAGTGGTGCCTTATACATTGAGCCTGTAGCGATGGTGGGAGCTCAGTGTTTTGTCGTTGCTGTCAACTGAGTGACGCTGTTGCGATGTGCTTGGCATCCGCGGGGAAAGAGCGGCTCCTCGTCCCGTTGGGGCAGGGAGCGGGGTTGGGGGAAGGTCCATCAGGATGGTGAGTTGGGGTTGAATGGAAGGAAGGGGCTGCAGCCTGTGTCCGTCTCTAACGGGTATTTAAATGGCTGCTCTTGTCAACGGCCCTGGTGTGTTTGTGTCCTTTTGCTGAAGTTGAAGGTTGCACATGACACACGAGAGTTAATCTGGTAGACAGTGGCAGGAGGAGTCCTGATGTTTGCAGCCCACTCAAATCCTGAAACACCGACCACTGGGAAGCTGGTGGAGCTGAATCGCTCGGGTCCTGCCAGACCGGACCAAAACCTCTTCCTCCTCTTCCACTTGCCCGTGTGCTTGTTCAGGGTTAAGCAAGTGGTACAAAAAAAGGCCAGTTCATGATTTTAAAGAAGTCTCCAGCTGCAACCTAATCTTTACCCCTTCATGCCAAACCTAAACAGATCTTTGGAGTTCTCAGCAAAGCTTGACCATGGAGATGGAGTGATGCCCCCTCAGCATCAATGACACCTCCATGAACCTGATGGTTTTGTTAGACCTATCTGCACCCAAAGGTATTAAAGAAAAGTTATAAAGAAATTATTGTGGAAATGTGATGTACAAATTATATTTTCTGTGCAAATCTTTTTCTAGAATTATTGCAGAATTCATCATGTATTACGATTTATTGAAGTGGTGTAGAATTATATTCTCTGTCCTTAATATTCACCTGCTTGGAGCGAAGATAGAAACGTCATCCCTTATTCTTCTCAGAAATGACAAGCACAAGTAAGTAGAGAGGAGGATATGGACATTTTGTTTCAATATTTTTATGGCT